TCCATCTGGCGGAGTCAGGTTATGTTTTTCCTAAATCAACCCCTGTGTTAAGAACCGAGGACAGAGGGACCCATTATTCAAGGAGAGACAGTCAGTAGGAAAGTTCAAAACGTTTATTAAATAATAAAACAAAAACTAAGTGGAGCTGTGGCTCGCGGACACTGCAGGCGGGGGGGCGGGGCACCGCCCAATCTCAGACACTCTAGGGAGGAAACACAGGTAAGTGACCACAATTAACTGATATAAGATTATCTGTGTTGGTCACTTACCTGGTTTAACAGTCCAGACCACGAGTGTCCCCAGTGCTGCAGTCCCAGAGGTCATGCTGGAAGCCGATCCTGGTGAGGGATCCAGAACAGACAGAAAACAGATAGGAACAGGCAAGATCCAGATCAGGCAGGAACAGAAACAGGTGGCAGGATCCAGACTTCCAGGCATCCACAGGCTTCCAGGAGGGTTCAGAGTGTGACTGGGACCAGAAGCATGACCAGGTGGTCATGCACAGGAGCAGACAGGATCAGGTGCAGACAGGCAGGCACAGTGGAAGAGGGTAGCCGAGACAGGACGTAGGAACCAGAACTTGATGCAGGACTTTAAACTGGTCTCCTCCATGGAGCCAGGCTTACTGGATAAAACTGAACCTCCCCACATATAGAGCCAAAAACCCAGAGGACTCCGCGGGGGAGGAACAGTGGACGATCAGGAGACGAGACACACACTAAAACCCTCATTCCACTGGCAGCTAGGATCCAGGACATGAACCAAATAAAACTGAACAGAAAGACTGACAGAAAGACAAGCAAGGATCTGGCACTGAATGCTCAGGCTGAACTGAATATAAACTAGAGGAAACAGGTGAGAGGAATAAATTATAATTGAGGCAGGGAGGGAAAAATGACAGGTGAAAGGAATGACTAATTAAGGGAGAGCAAACAGGCCAGATCATGACACCCTGCTTGTACAGTATGGTTGCCAAACGATTCTTGTTGACTAATTTTTTTAAAAAACTGAACAGTTTCGACGACCTAACTAAAATGTAACCTTACAAGTTGTGACCTCCAACCTTTCAACCACCAAAATCAAACATCCTAAACCTTTTACAGTGGGGGAGGGGGGTGAACGGATGTCGCTCCTCGGAGACATCGGTGCAATCCGAGGGTGCACACTGCAAAAAAATATGCATCACGCAGCTCATTAGGCATTTAATGAGTGAGAAAACGTCCATTTTCCATCGCTGAAGTGAGAAGCTATAATCGAGTGAGATGTTGTGCCTTTAGTTGTCATGTGACAAACAGCCTTTTAGGAAGTCTGACATACTAAACATCCTTTTTACAGCAGCTACTATTAATCCCTGTTGCTGTGATACTTGCATCCATGCATTTTTACGCAGGAGATGCTTTTTCCTTTTCCAACGCGCAACAATTGAATGCATCTCGGTGCGCTTAATCAGACGGAGGAAATTGTCTAATAGGTTTGGAGAATCAACAGTTTTTTATTTTATTATTTTTATTTAAATGCTTTCTTTATGTGCAGCGCTGAAGCTGAACTCCTCCATCTCCTATCAGGCAGCAGCCAAGGACAGGAGAGCATCAGCAAGGAGAGAGAAAGGTGTTTCCTCTCCTCCTCTCTGCGCTGCGCTCCGCTCCTCGCCATTGCGCTCATTGTGTCGCTGCTGAATCAGTGTCAGAGCGATCGGAGGCTGCTGGAAGCGGACTAAAACACGGACAAACTAAAACACGGACAAACCTATGCGTGGATTTCGGCTTTTTTTCCCTTCGCCAATGCAAAAGGAAATATGCAGCGAAGCTTCACCTTGCTCTACACCAGTTTACTGGGGATATGCTTGGGTTCGGGTTCAAGTTTCCCAAGTAACATCAACATAGGTGAGAATAGATCCCTAAAGGAAACTTTGCGCGTCTTTTTTTTGTCTCTTTAGCCTGATTTTCCTCTGAACTCCTGCTTGTTTTCTCGCTCAACAGGAGGATTGTTCCCCAACGTCTCGCACGAATATGAGGTGTTCCGGTTCGCCCTCTCCCATCACCAGGACATCCCCAAACTGGTGCCGCAGGTGGATATGGTCCTGATGGGAAACAGCTTCTCCATGACATATGCCTGTAAGTAATCAATCAGCAGTAACAGGTATTGTTCTCCACTACCTGCTCCTCCTCTTATTGTGTTGCAGCTAGAAATGCTGGAATCACTCAGGTTTGAACACCTGCTGCAAAGCTGCTGCTGGTCGCTTATCTCTGGAACTGTTGCGTCTTTCTACCTGCATGATCCAGCGGGTTTAAGAGCAGGGCTGATAAGTGGGGGGGAAATGAGTACATCTATTATTTCTTTTTTTCTCTCAAAGAAATGCTCCAATTATTTCCTAATGGTCCTTATATGGCTGCATTTGGTAAACAAAGTCAAACACGAAGCGTTTTTTCCCCTTGATCTCTATTTAATAAATGAATCAAGACTAAAGAAATCCTCAAATCTCTGACTATCAACGCATAAAACAAAAACACCGATTTACTATTTTGAGTTTAGCACAAATTAATGTATCTGGAAATAATTACATTAGCATAATCACAAATGGGAATCAATAACTATATATATATATACATATATATATATATATATATATATGTATATGTATATATATATGTATATGTATATATATATGTATATGTATATATATAT